TTGGAAAAAAAGAAAAGTTGTCCCAACAAGAACTTGATTTTTATCGGTCAGGGGTCCGATATCGGCTGTTCCAACAAATCAGTAGATTAATGGGGGAGAAAAGGACGTCTGCAAAATTTCATATCTTTAAAATTGTGGGACTGATTCATATATACAAGTACAGACAGGTAGACAGACAGAGAGACATGGCTAAGACGGCTCAATTCGTCACGCCAATCATTTATATATATACCTATATACTTTTTAGGGACTCCAAAGTTTCCTTCTGGGTATTATAGACTTCATGGCGGATGTAATAGGTAAGGTAAGCTGGGGCAGAACACAAACGCTCATTACTTTCAGGTAAATTCATTTAATAAAACAGTCTGCAATTTACACCGTACAATGAAGTAACACTTAGTCCCAGAAATTCACATCAAAGAAATTTTTGATTCGGGATTATGATGTGGAAGCTGGATGGGTTGGATTAAGTAACTTCATTTCAATTTCGCTTTTAAATGCAACAGCAATATTTGGTACATCTGATTTTACAAAAACCCAAAGAGATCTGTGGCTCGCCGAAGATACTGCATATTAAAGGTTATGACAAGTGTAACCCTCACTGAAAAATTTAGGCAATATGAAAAATTGTTCAAATCTTTTAAGTACCTGAATGATTCTCACGAATCCTCTAAGCCTGCTCCTAAGCGTAAACGTCCTTCCGATGAAGTAACACTTAGTTCTTCTGTACAGAAAAGAACGTCTCTTCCCAATGACCTAATAAATCTCTCTTCTCCTTTCCCTCAAGGTGATAAGCCGTCAACTTCCAAAGAGCTCAATTCCCTAAAAGCTCTATCTAATAGTAATAAGTGTCTCACAATTCCAGAGGCCCCCCCTAATAACTTAGTAGCATCAGTTAATAATTTGATAGTTATCCCACGTAAAAAGTCTATATTTATTTCGAGACTTGCCAAAGATACCTTGGTGGAGGACATTAAATCTTACATTTCGTCACGTTTAAAAATCGATGATATCAATATCCGTAAATTTAACTTCAATTATGATAGAAGTATATCATCGTTTAAAATAGACGTATCTCTTGAAACATTCAAAAAGATCTTAGATAGTTCATTCTGGCCACCTGGGGCTTTTGTACGCGAATTTAAACCTAAACTTAGAAATCAAACTGAGGAAAACATTGTTAAATTACCAAAAACAACCACCGATATAAAAAACTGATTGGTAGAAATTCGTTAAGCATTTATTATCAAAATGTTAGAGGTCTTAATACAAAATTAACCGATTTGTATTTGAACAGTTCCTATTTTTATTTCCATATAATTGGATTTACAGAAACTTGGTTAAAACCTCACATTTTTGATAGTGAGATTTTAAACAGCGAATTTCAAATTTTTAGATGTGACCGACTGAACAGAATCGGTGGAGGTTTTCTATTTGCCGTGCATTCCTCTATCCCATCTGAAAATGTTCTTGTTTCAGGGACCGACTCATTTGAATTTAAATGTATTAGAGTCTACGTTAATAGTTGCTTTATTTATTTAACCCTATCTTATATACCACCTCATTCGGACTTATCTGTATACATGCAGCCTGCTTCTTTAATAAATAGTGCTACCTCGATGGCAAATAATGCAGATTCAATAATTGTATCAGGTGATTTCAATTTACCGTGTGCTTCGTGGAAACCTTTCGATGACTATATCGTGCCAATCAAACTTCGTGCTTCTGTACTCGGCTTAACTTTGCAAAAGCTAATTTTAAAAAGTTAAATACAGACTTTCTACAATAACATGGCCTAATTGTAATGGTGACATTGAATTGAGTGTCTCTCATATTTTTAACATTATTATGAAATTATTTGAAAAGTATGTTCCAATAGTAATTGTTAATAAAAGTAAAAGTATAAGTCCTTGGTTTTCGAAAGAGTTATATAAATTGAAAAACAGAAAAACTCGAGCCTTTAAACATTTTAATAAAACTGGTTCACTTGTAGACTATTCTAAATACTCTCTATTGCGTCGACAATATTTTGACCTAAAAAATGTTATAATAATTACTTAAATAAAATAAAAAAGAATATTGTAAGTAACCCAAAATCGTTTTATGATTTCGTCAACTCCAAACGCAGGATTTTCAAATTTCCGTCCGCGATGAAATACAAATCTATCATTTCAAGTGACAATGATATTATATCCAATATGTTTGCAGAATTTTTCAAGTCAAAGTACTGTAATAATTCTTCCCAAACTTTTTCTTATCAGCACGTGCTGTGTTCGAATACTTTAATTAACGCTCCAAATATTTCTGAAGAAGACGTCCTACTTAATTTAAATAAGTTAAAAGCATCTTTTAGTTATGGCGCAGACATGATGCCCTCATGCTTCCTAAAAAAATAGTGCCAAATTTATTTACTTGCCTTTGACAAGGATATTTAATTCCTCTCTTAAACACGGTATATTTCCTTCAATATGGAAACAGTCATTTATAATTCCTTTGCATAAAAGTGGATTTAGATCCAACATTGAAAACTATGGAGGTATCGCAAAACTATCAGTTATACCTAAACTTTTCGAAGCTATCACCACTGACCATATAACCTTTGCGATTCCTCCGTTAATTTCCTCATCTCAGCATAAATTTCGTAAAGGGAAATCGACTCTATCGTAACAAACTTTCTTGAATTTGTAAACTATGTGGGTTTTAGGGAACATAAGCATACGGATGTTATATACACAGACTTTAGCAAAGCTTTCGATAAAGTAGATTCTCATACATAAACTTGATCTGCTGGGCTTTCAGCCAAGATTCCTTCAATGGGTATCTTCCTATCTTTATAATAGAACACAACGAGTGATATTTGAGGATACACCTTCAGATACAATTAATGTTTCTTCAGGTGTTCCGCAAGGTAATCATCTTGGCCCAATTCTGTTCTTGTTGTTTATTAACGATATCTCTTCAGTAATAGAATTCTCAAAAATTTTATTATACGCTAGTAGTATAGAAATGCCGGTTCTAGATCACTTTGGTGCAAGCCTGCATGCACCATTTACGTACTTTTCCTTGCACCACTCTGGTGCAAAAGGAAAAATCGCAAAACTGTCGACCACAAAACTGCAAAACCGCAAAACTGTCGCAGCGCTCCCGTGTGTGCGTGTGTGTGTGTGTGCGAGCGTGTGCGAGCGTGAGAATTTTATATAAATATAAATTTTACACCATTTTAGTGCAAAGGGAAAAAATAATTTTGTATATTTTGTGGTTTTGTGCTTGTGGTGCTTAGACCAGTGTAAGGGATTTGGGGGGTCCCGGGGCGCATTGTAAGTGAACAGTGAGCGCTCCCGTTTTAACTTGCATCAGAATTTTATGAAATCACATAAATAACTTGCATGAGAATTTTATGAAACCACATAAATGTTAAGATTGGGCATTTTGTTGATATTTTTTAATCGCTACCGTTTAATCTATGAGTACGTTCGTGAGAATTTTATATAAATATTTTTTAATCGTTACCGTTTAATTTATGTATACGTTCGTGAGAATTTTATGAAACCACACAAATATGGAGATAAGGAAATTTTTTATATTTTTAAGTTAAGTCCAAGTTTGTTTATATGTACATACATTGGGAAATGTATGAAATCATACAATTTTTATACTCTCGCAACCTGTTGCTACAGAGTATAATAGTTTTGTTCACCTAACGGTTGTTTGTATCACCTAAAACTAATCGAGTTAGATATAGGGCTATGTATATATAAATGATCAGGATGAAGAGACGAGTTGAAATCCGGGTGACTGTCTGTCCGTCCGTCCGTCTGTCCGTCCGTCCGTCCGTGCAAGCTCTAACTTGAGTAAAAATTGAGATATCTTTATGAAACTTGGTAGACATGTTTCTTTGTACCGTGAGACGGTTGGTATTGCAGATGGGCGTAATCGGACCACTGCCACGCCCACAAAACGCCATTAATCAAAAACAAATAACTTGTCATAACTAAGCTCCGCAATAAGATACAAGACTGTTATTTGGTACACAGGATCACATTAGGGAGGGGCATCTGCAGTTAGAACTTTTTTTTAAAAAGTGGGCGTGGTCCTGCCTCTAATAGGTTTAATGTGCATATCTCCTAAACCGCTAATGCTATAATAACAAAACTCACTAGAAGCAAATGTTTTTAGCATTTCTATCGACGGTGTGAAAATAGTTGAAATCGGGTGGCAACTCCGCCCACTCCCCATATAACGGTACTGTTAAAAACTACTAAAAGCGCGATAAATCAAGCACTAAACACGCCAGAGACATTAAATTTTATCTCTGAGATGGTACAAATCGGCTTTATAGGAACCGCGTTCAAAATTAGTAAGTGGGCGTGTCACAGCCCACTTTTAGGTGAAAACCCATATCTTGAGATCCGCTCAAACCGATTTCAACCAAATTCGGTGCATAACGTTCTTTTCATGTTTCTATGTCATAGTGCGAAAATGGGCGAAATCGGACTACAACCACGCTTACTTCCTACGTAACACCATTTTCAATTCCATCTGATTCTTTCACTTTCCACTATGCAAATCAGGTAACAATGATTATATCGTGGTAAAACTTTGCGTGAATAATGCAATTAAAGTATGCCACCTTGATGCCAAAAATTGTCTAAATCGAACCAAAACTGTTCAAACCCCTAAGTACTAAATATGTGGACCCCAGTGCCTATAGTTGACCTTCTACCGAAAATATCAGTCAATCCACAAAGAAATCTCAAACGAGTATACCATTTGACTTTGCGAGAGTATAAAATGTTCGGTTACATACGAACTTAGCCCTTCCTTACTTGTTTGTTTGTATTTTTATTAATTTTCGAACATAATTTCTAAAAGCTCATAAATAAAAAATGCCTAGCACAGAATTTAATTTTGATGAAAATGTTTCTGAGGCTGTTACTACTATTGATTCTATAACTCCTGAAGGATATGGTATTTTGGCTCCTTTTTTAAATTCGGGATTCAGTGAAAAAGAGCGAAGGAATTCCATCAGAAAAAAATGGAGAAATAATAATAATGCTTGGAAATTTGATTTACAACGACTTTGCGAAGATTTTATACAACAAATACTTACCCAAGGGATGGAGTATGAGTTTCGATTTAAGACAAGCGGAACGCCGATGAAGTATGAAAAGGAGAGTACTTATGGAGAGTTCGAGGTTAACATTTTAGCATCCAAACGAGGTGAACATTGTTATACATATGCTACACAGTTTCTTGTAGCAGTAAACTTTGATGAATGTAAAATAATAAAATAAACAGAATTGTTTTAATTATTTTTTTAGATTTACATATCATTTGTTTTAACTATATTATATCAAATTTAAAACATTTGAACATTTATAAATAAAACATTTGTTATAACTAAATTCAATGAATGCATATAAACTTTTTTTCAAGAGCTTAGTACGAGCAAAACCGCCAACACCTTTATATTTATATACAATTCCTAAAAGTTGTTTAAGAAATTTATCTTCACGGACCCATTCAACATCACAGCTTATATTATGTTTTTTTGCAGAAGTTGTAGTGCAATCCAAATCAATATCTTCCGATTTAATTTCATCATCAAACCACTGTTGAATTAAAAATTTTAATTTCTGAATATCTCCGTCATTTTTGAAATTAACTTCAAATGAGGGAACTTCTCCCACCTTTTCATTTAAAGTAATTTTTCCAACACTTAATAACCCTTTAGTGTCTATAATTCCATTTTCAGGAACAGCTGCTAGTGTTGGTTTACAAAGATCAATACACTTATTTACATTTTGTGTGTTAGCTTTTTGTTGAGCGGTTTTTTGTATAGAACCTTCAGCTTGTATTATCTTTGAAGGTCGTTGTCTCTTACGCTTATTTGTCTTCACTTCAGTTGTACCTTGTAGGGGTTGAGCGGGTTCTGTTGTACCTTGTAGGAGTTGAGTGGGATCTTCTAAGTTTTGAAGCTGCGTATTAAATGTTGTTCCTTGTAGGGATTGAGCGGGTTCTTCTAATTTTTGAAGTTTATCATCGAACCTTCTTAACATATTGTTGAATTCTTCTTGATCGAACACAACATTTGGTAACATTTGTTGATCACTATCAAAGTTTAAATAATTTTTAGAATCCATTGTTCCACGTTAATGTGTTTCCGTTAAATATGTTATTACAATTAGACTATTATAAAATAAAGTTCATATTTATATCTTCTGGTTTCATTTTCTCACGATGATTACATACATCTAGGTTCCTTAAACATGATAGCATATAAATTATACAGTTTTTTCATTGCTTTATATCGGGAATAAAGCGAAATACAATTACATATATCTACTATTTCCTCGTATGAATTATCAGTGAAATGACAATCTTTTTTGTGTAATCCATTGGGTGAATATACGAATGGTTCTGATAAACATGACCGCAATTCATTTATTATAGAATAAAAAAATATTTTATGTTCATTATCAATTAAATCGTTATATTTTCTTAAAAACTGTTCTAGGTATATTGGAAAAGACATTTTTCCCTTTTTATTGTACTGTTTGCTTGACACTAAATTAAAAAATTAACAAGTAGGGTACTAGTAGTACGAAACTGGTGGTTTGCGGAACTATAATTTCCGCTGCACGGTATATCAATAAACCTCAAAATAGATAGCGATAAACACGTACTTATACTGTATAGATATATATATATATATACATTTAGAAAGATAAGGCTACTTGTCCCCATGCATATAAATTACACATTTTTCAGTGAAAATATACAGTTAATTGTTTGAAGCGGTTGTTGTTGAAACAATTTATTTTTTTAATATTTATTAAACGCTAAAACTTAAAATAAACGGTAATAAACTGTGTAATATATATATATATATATATAAATATATATTATTTATTCATTGTTACTCTATAATATCGTCTTATTGTAGTCATGAAGCAGGCTCTTAAAGACTTAAAATCAGTTTCAAAGGAAAAAACACAAAAACCAATATTGAAGGCGATTGATGTACCAATTAATAAAAAATTAAGAGTTTTAAAAGCCATACGAGTGAAGACAAAGTTTGGTGATAAACTGATGATTTAACTAGATGAATGTGTTCTTTTTCTTCCAGAATCTTACAACTCCTTAAAAGATTCAACTATTGAAACATTGAATAATAATACATTTTACATCGAATTGATTAAACGTGGAGAAAAATTTACTTCACCATTGTTTGAATTTCATTCATCATAAGGTTTTTTAAATTTTCGAATTATCTCCCAAATAAAAAAATAAAAATCAAAATGTATTCGTGTAGTTTCTGTGAAAAGACATATGTTCGGAAGAGGAGTTTGAATAAGCATATTTCAATGAAACATCAGGATTCTAAAACAATTATTTCACAAAAAATTTATCCGTGTAGTTTCTGTGAAAAAACATATGTTCGGAAGAGGAGTTTGAACAAGCATATTACAATGAAACATCAAGATTCTAAAACAATAATTTTTTGCGAACAATGTAAAGTGCAAGTGAAAAAAAATGAATGGACAGCACACGTGAGAACAAACATACATAAAAAAAATTGTATATATAGTGTAAATAATAATGTGAAATGTATTAATTCTATGTTTAATAATCGTATTGAAACATATGTTTTGGAAAACGACGAGCCCAAGGATTTAATTATTGAACATTTTTTTGAAAAACAACTAAATGAATTAACTGAACTTTTACAGAAATCTATAGAAAAGCATGAAAGCATCAAATTTAACTTTGAATTATTTTGCAAATATATTCAAATAAAAGAAAATATTGAAGAATTTGCTATATTGTCACACCAAACATTAATGACTGAAGTATTTATGGAGAACAGCAATGTTGGAGATATAATTAAAGAAAAGTTTACTAAATTGATTGAAAAAATGAACACATTTCAAGAGCGAGATAGTGGTTGAAGTCTTAGTGAAATTATTCATCTAGAAGTAAACGTAAATAAATATCAACCAATTAGAGGCTCATTATATATACCACTACCGAAAATAATTGCAGTTAAAGAAGCATGTATTAATATTGTTAACAATGATGTATATTGTTTTAAGTGGGCCATAATTTCATCTCTTTACCAACCCTCAATAAATAGCCAAAGGTGTTCTTCATATAACATTGAAAATATTGAAAATTCCATTATAATTTTAAATAATGGAAAAGTAGTCAATTTTGAAAATTTAAATTTCCCATTACAACTAAAAGATATTGAAATATTTGAATCGAATAATCCAAATATTAGTGTAAATGTGTTTGGTATAGAAGACAATTTGGTAGTAGGGCCTTTTTATTTAACTAAAGAAGAAAAACCGCATCACGTTAATCTTATTTCTTTATACAGTGATGATTTCAATGAAAGCCATTATGTTTGGATAAAAAATTTAAATAAATTACTTAGTTTGCAAGTTACAAGACATGAGAAAAAATTATATGTTTGTAATACATGTCTAATACATTTTTATAAGGAAGAAGAATTATTTACCCATAAAATGCATTGTAGAAAAATTGTAACACGTATGCCTAAATTTGAAAAAAGAATATTAAAATTTGAAAATTTCAAAAAACAATTAGATGTACCATTCACTATATATTCAGATTTCGAATGTATTCTAAAGCCAATAGATATACAAAATTCTACTAAGACACAATATGTTCAAGAACATATTCCTTATGCCTATTGTTATTTTATAAAGTGTTCATATAATAACCAACTGAACCGTTTTAAAATATATAGCGGTGTTGATGCCCCAAAACATTTTATTAAAAGTATTTTTGATGATGTTTTAGATATTCACCACCTATATTTGTGTAAAACAGTTAAAATGCATCCACTGAATGCCGACCAACTTAGACGTCAAAAAGAGGATACAGTTTGTCATATTTGTGGAATGGAACTTAATAAATGTAATTTGGAATATCAGACAACAAATTTTATTCCAATATTTTTTCATAATTTATCGAAATATGATTGTCATTTATTTGTAAAAGAGTTGTCATCTGTTAAGGGGGATATAAATATAATTCCCTTAAACAAAGAATTGTATATTTCGATAACAAAGAAAATATATATTAATGAAAAAGATACCATTGAACTTCGGTTTTTAGACTCATTTCGATTCATGCCTTCTAGCTTAGACAGTTTAGCAAAGAATTTAAATAATAATGATTTAGAAATAACAAAGGTTTTTTTTCCTAACGACCATCACTTTGTTTTAATGAAACGTAAAGGTATTTCCCCATATGACTACTTAGATTCAGAAGAACACCTCAACGAAACTCAATTACCTGTTCGTTCGCATTTCTTTAATAAATTAACAAATGAGTCATGTAGTATCGATGAGTATCAGCATGCACAAAATGTTTGGACAACATTTAATTGTTCCAATTTATTAGATTATTTATTATTATATTTAAAAGTAGATGTGCTACTCCTCAGTGACATTTTTGAAAATTTTAGAAAGTTATGTAAAGGAATTTATCGACTAGACCCATGTCAATATTATACATCTCCAGGTTTATCTTGGGATGCAATGCTTAAAATAACTAGAATAGAATTAGAATTGTTGTCTGATGAAAACATGCATAATTTTATTTTGTCAGGGATTAGGGGTGGTATTGTTCAATGTTGTAAACGACATTCAATTGCTAACCATAAATATTTAAGTGATTACGATGTGACTAGGCTTTCACATTATTTAATTTATTTAGATGTTAATAATTTATATGGGTATGCTATGTCACAATATATCCCTCACAATAATTTTGAATGGGTTGAAAACGTAGAGGAGTTTAACGTTTTGAGTATACCGGAAGATTCTTTAGTTGGTTACATATTAGAAGTAGATTTAAATTATCCCATAACCATTCACAATATTCATAATGACTTACCATTTTGTTTTGAAAATAAAAAAGTTGGTTCAATGAAACATACAAAGTTGATTGGTGATTTAGCATCCAAAATCAAATATATTATTCAACATGGGCTTATATTAAGGAAAATTCATAGAATTCTAAAATTTAATCAATCGGATTGGCTAAAAAAATATATTGATTTAAATAATTATCATAGAACATTAGCAGCTAACAAGTTTGAAGAAAATTTCTTTAAATTATTAAATAATGCGGTGTATGGAAAAACTATGGAGAATGTAGATAAAAGAGTAAATGTTAAATTAGTACAAGATTGGGAAAATACTAATATTGGAAGAAGAGGTAGAAAAAAAATAGGTGCTAGAGCCTTAATAGCAAAACCTAATTTCCACAGTCTAAGCAAATTTTCTGATAATTTAATAGCAATTCAAATGAAGCAAGTGTCAGTTCTGTACAATAAACCGATATATATTGGTTTTACCGTTTTAGAACTTTCAAAATTTAAAATGTATAGTTTCCATTATGATTATATCAAAGAGAAATATAAAAATAATATTACTTTGAATTATATGGATACTGATTCATTCATATATGATATTCAAACTGACGACTTTTATAATGATAATGATATTCGTGTTAGCATTCCAAAATTTTTCGATACTTCTTCATATCCAATAGAAAATATTTTTAATTTTCCTCGGTTGAATAAAAAGGTTCTAGGTATGATGAAGGATGAATGTAATGGAAAGTTAATAAAAGAATTTGTTGGTTTAAGAGCAAAAAAGTATTCATTTAGAATTGATAATGATATAAATGAAACTAAGAAAATTAAGGGAATAAAAAAATGTGTAACTTCTACATTGAGTTTAAGTGATTTTAGAAAATGTCTGTTGGAAAATAAATTGTATAATGCATCAATGTATACATTTAGATCTAAATTACATACGGTTTATACACAAAATATTTATAAAGTAGCTCTAAGCAATATAGATGATAAGCGAATTGTACGGGAAAATCATGTTGATACTTATGCTTATGGTCATTTTGAAACATTATAGTAGTACTTTATTATTGTAATATAAAAAAAAGGAAAAATATTAAAAAATTGTACTTTAAATTATTTAGTTTTTATTAAATAAAATTTTTAAACATAATTGCACGCATATGACTGTGTTGTATTTTTGTTTCTGTTCATAATTGTAATATATTGGTGGCTTCAGGTAATTAATCAGTTCTACCGGTAGTTGTAAATTTTCAAAACTATCAAAATATTCTTTATAATTTTTGTTTTTATAGTATGCTACCCAATGAGTACCAGGACCATCAGCATCATCTAAATTAAGAATTCCACATTCTTGTGATTTCGGCTTATTCGGTAAAGAATTTCGCATAAAAATTCCCCTGAAATGTTTCAGATGTTTACAATATTTCATTAAATCAACATCTGTTAATGGTCTTTTGGGTAGCTTTTTTATTAGTTTTTTGGATAGGGTCGTAAAAATAAACCATATCCCTTTTTATATGGCTTAAGGAATAAACCTTTACCCATAGCGATAGATTCCATATATCTATTATGGCGGGTAGCCTCAGCCAATTGCTCCTTTCCATTCTTGATATCATTTAAAACTTTTGCTATAGCTGATCCACCAGATGCTATACCACCAAGTGCACCTAACGCCGTTAAAACAGGAAGGAGTGGTAAAATTCCACCAAATTTTGGGACTGGAAATATTCTCGGTATGTTAATTTGTTTATTTTTAAAGCT